TGGATGATGCTCATTGGCGGGCTTTTAGCGTTTGGTCGAAATGGGATATTGAGAAAGAAGAAGTTGCATAACGTGATGAGGCTCGAAGGCTGTATAGGTTGTCAAGGAAACCAACGGAGCTCGTTCAAGTCTCCAAGTACAACAGAAATAGTTACACTGATCAAGACAGATGGTACAATGAGTATTAATTTAACTACGACAGGCACAGCGACTACGACTACCATGGTGCAATATATGCAGGATAAAGAAGATGTTTTACTAGTTGATCATCAGCAGATCAACATGAACAGTGGTTGTAGTAGCGGAAATTCATCTTCAACACCATTTGACGGACAGATGAAGAGCAGGAAAAAAAACTTCAAAAGCGTAGTAACACAAGAATAAAAATTATTGTTTCTTTCTTTTCCCTTTGAAACCACTTGCTTGTGCTTTTCTCTTTCTCTTTTTTTCTTTCATGTATCAAGACGAGAAACTACCGCCTTCGAACTATGCAGTCATAAGATGGTTTGGATTCGATCAATTCGTCCCCGAAGCGACAGTAACGTCTTACTGGATGTCTTCAAAAGCATTCTTCATCATTCACTTTATCCTCACTCTTTATACTATTCCTAAATTTTGTGCTTTTCTAAGCTTGGAATTTTCACGTCCGATTTATGTTTGAGTTGAAGAAACGATACTATCAGAGGATCTTCTGCAATACAGCGTTCGTCTTTATGGACAATATTGAGCGCAGAGACTATCGATAGCTTGCAGTATTAATGGATGCGCATGTTTATGCAAGAAGCGATATACCGCTTTTGGATCGTAAGCTTGTGAATCTACTCCATGTTTATACCACCAATTGGATGAAACTCTCCATCCATGATCATATACCCTGCGTGTCCTTTTTCTTGCCGACTGGGTCAAAAAATCTACATATTGAGTGTTAAGCCTTCTACAATCCTTTTTTGAAAGATAACATCCATGCGGCTAGTGACCACTGGCTGTTGAATCTCATTTATAAGTAATTTTGCCTTCATCCCATTGCACTGCGTATGGTTGATTGTTCGTATCGAGCATGGGTGGTTTTCTCTACAGATTCTTTATCCAAGGTCAACTATTTATCGCTTGGATGTTATTCTCCCAGATGTATAATACTCTCTCTGGGATCCTGAGCGCCATTGCTCTAGCTTTATTTTTGGTGGTTTTGCTCGTAGTATACGAGTAAACGGCAAGTTATCGGATATCTTCCCTGATAAATTGCTGGTATTCTTCGTAAAGGCTTGATGTTACTCTTCCCGCGACGATAAGTCGATCGGCTCCCTTGTGCACTGTGTTTGTGCTTTGCAAGGCATCCACAGTCTTCCTTTTCAGGCCTTTGTTAACTCTTTGTTGGTGGTTCATTCGTTACCTTCGTACTTTGGAAGGTTCTTAATAAAGCTTTTAGTGCTCTTTTCTAAGTTAGTTGTCGAACTGTTCTCCAGTTTTTCCAAGCTTTCATCTGTAAGGCTTGTGGGGCCTTCACTTGATCTGTTAATGATATGCTCAACTTGTTCTCTTGTAAACAATGGTTCCGACTGATCATTGAACATATTATTAGCAAGATGTGCGGCACAAAAAAGATTAAGAAAACAGCAGTAAGCAAACATTTTTATTATGTATTATCTGAAAATAAAGCATGGCGTGAAAGAGTCTTTATCACCTCATCGGAACCTGGAAGGGAGGTAGCACTGATTGGAACAAATATACCTTCCAATTACCAAATGAAAATACGTTGAAACATTTTTTTACAGTTAAAAGGTGTAGGACCTGCCCAAGATTTACAATGAGGTAAATGGACAGGCTCAAAAACAAATCAGACATTCTTATTTAGTGGCCAACACTATATGCACCAGAAAATTGGCTAATGCTACAGACGGTATCTCGTGGCGCTATCTACGTTGTCACTGTACAACTTCACAATATCAAAGTCTCTAGCTAACCTAACGCTTTCCAATGGGAATATTCTTTGATGTAATTACACGTGATTAATCTTGGTTATTTGTTGTTGAAAATTAGAAAAAGCTTCTTTTTATTTCTTTTTCTTTTTGAACAGAAACACAAACCAAGACGGTGACCTTATAAAGCCATGTTTAGCTTGACGTTACACATTCAATAGTTTTGCTGGCAACATCATAGGTATATGAGTAGAGGTAACTCTCTCGTAGTCTTCCTTGTGCATGTAGTATTCACCTTCTCAATAGAAAACTTAATTCAGATACTGTAGTGAATGGTAAACAACCACTACCAGCGTTCATCCTACCATCAAAACGATCGTTCCACGCTATGGAAACAATTCAAGCTGATTCGTGCTCCAACTGCTCTCCTCCACTGCCAGAGAATTTAGGATTATTGTTTGCCATATGGAGATATGGCAAGCTTCTCCGTCAGCGAGAATACATTATGCTATCGAATGAATTATGCGATCTTGCAAATCATGATTGGTGATTTCATTCGCAGACCAAATACTACGCTGCACAGCTTTTTGCTGAAGCCATCCTGTTTGACACTGACAACCATCAAGCCATCATTATCAATACAGTTGAAGCATATGGACGCGGGAAAACAATAGGTATTCATAGAGAAATCTTTGGTATGAGGAAGGGCACTGCAATTGAAACGTCCCTGTCTCCAGCATTCAATATCAGGTACCCGGATGTATGGCCTACGACGTTCAACACTAGTGACGGAAAGAAGCTTCTCATCGGAACTCAATCATGTAGCTTGCTTGTCTGTCGTCCTTGCGACTGGATAAGGTTGATGGCCTTTGTGTTGGGACTACACCGGTGAATTTCAATTTACAAAACAAGTTGGATTCTCTTACATGCGCAATCTATTTGGATTTCCAATGGAATATTCTTTGAATATATCATAATTACATGTAATTGATCCTGGTTCTTTGTTGATCAAACTGACAACATAAAATTAGAATTAAAAAAAAATTTTTATCTCTTTCTTCTTTAAAAGAAAAACAAACCAAGATGGCTACTTTATAAATCCGTGTTCTTAAGTAAGTTTAACGTAATAACACGCATTGAAAAGTTTTGTTGACGACATCACAAGTAGTAAATCAAACTTGCGAAAAACGGACAATTTGTTTAATATTTTGCAAAAAATGGTAGAAAACCTTTACGAGCGTTCACTTGTCGACAAGGTGTTCGCTTCTCCGTGTAATATCGCCAGTTCTCCTTTTGGAGAAAGAGGTTTGCTGAGAAATGACATATTAAGTCAACTTGAAAACGTACACGGCAACATCAAAGATAAACTATGAACAATTATTATGTAATTTCGTTTTAAGCCATTTTATTTCAATAGACATGTTGAAGTATATTAAAAACAACGACGACATGTGCCTTATTTCATTGGACTTCGCTGGATTCTCAACCAACGTTACTTTTTTGAAAAGCTCATCAGGTAACAAAAAATAAAACAAAATTGAAATAGCAGTGTTTTTAAAACATTTGAAAGAGAAGAACTTTTAAACGATAATAAAGTAATTAAGCTATTCAATTGCCGTACATTGCAAACAAAGGTCAAAATAACTGTCCTTTTTTATTTTTCTGTTCAAATTAAATAAAATTATCCAGAAGCAAAAGAAAAACAGAAAGTGTTGATAAGGGCTTTCCAAGTTGACGTTCATTAATCTGTGAAAGTTGTTTTGAAAAGGTTTTTGAGGTGCTGTATCTCTTATACTTCAAAGGTTCCGAATCAATTCGTGCATTAGCAAGTATAAAACGCTTTCATGAACTTTCGTCAAGAGGACAGTCAAATACTTAAAGCGCATTGCAAGGAAGAATCCGTTTTCAATATATGAACAGCTGAAATTGGAGTTGAAAGGTATGTGCATTGACGACCACAAAGACACAGTTATCTCATGTTTGAAGAGCCTGAGCTTCGGGTCTTTCTATGCAACTCATAAGCCTCGCTTAAGTTAGCAGCACAAGAAGAAAAAGGCTGTGTTGAGCCCAAGAACATGTCCACTGGACGGCTGACCAGTGGAAGAGTGTGATATAGTCTGATGTATCCCGTTTCTCCATCACTGGTTCTGATGGAGGCACCAGAATTATCATAAAGCTTGAAGAGCGGTATCAGATGGATCATATCGCCCCAGCTGGGAAGTGAGGTGGCGGTGGTGTTATGGTTTAAGGCTGTTTTTGGGCTGGAGGCTCTGGGCCTTTGGCGACAATAGATGGAGAGGTATTGGTTGTAGTTTTTGTTGCCGTTAGTACCCGCGTAATGTATAAGAATAAAAGCAAAGAAGTGATGAGTCTCTATTTTATCCTTTTATTAAAAATGAAAGGAAGAATTCATAGCAAAAAGGAATCAGGGTTTTTAAAAGAGGTCAGAGTATTAATTAAGGTAAAGATTAGTATTAGACATGGTCAAATACAACAGATGACATTGTAGGCCAGGATAAATATATCAATATTTTGGCACAAAGCTTTCATCCTTGGTTCATAGATATTACAAATAAGGAAGAAAAAGACTTTATCTTTCAAGAAGACGACGTTACGTGTCACAGCGGTGCATACGCTCGATGGTTGAAAGAAACGCATCAGACTAGAAGCTTCGAGTACTGATCCGCGCAAAGTTTAGATCAACATCCCATTGAGCATATCTTGTGAGCTCTTGGCCGTCGTCTTGAAAAATGAAGGGTACCAGCAACAAATGTCCAAGATTTGAAGGTCGTGCTGCAGGAGAGTGGGGGAATATGAGCGTTCATCTTGCCAAACGTATGGTCGAAAGTATGAAAGATCAATACCGCGTAGTAATCAATCTTCGTGGTGGCTTCACAAAATACTAAAGGACTTATAATTTTGATTTTATTAAAAAATGCAAGCAACGCTTTCATTAAACAAAGTATCATTTCATTAGCTAATGTACTGACTGAGCAATTATCTCTAAGATGCTGAGTTGCCTTTTATTTAATGATTCAAGCAAGCATAACAATCATTAAAATATCCGCCTGAGTTAGATCAATCCGTCAGGATGTTTATGCTTAGAAAAACCTTTACGGGATCAAGGGTAAAAAAACGTACGCGAAAAAGTGTAGGATACAATCATTTATGTTTGGAATGGAAACGCTTGGGCACCAAAATGCTTTTCTTAATAAAAAAGTATGCAACAGCGCACTGAACAGAAGCCCTGATATGATGGATAGCGGAAATCAGTTGATCTTTGCCATCAAAATACACATGTCTAGTTTTGTAAGTCCAAAAGCCAAACTGAGTCATCTGTTGAAAACGAAAAGAAAAAGGAAGCTGACATTTGTTTGCTTTAGCTACAATTTGTGACATTCTTATGCATCATGACATTACTTGTTGTGCTCATATTACCCAAGCTCTTTAGACCCAGCCAGGACATGCAGGTCAAGCAACACGCGACTAATTTATTGTTGGCGATTCAC